ATTTCGTCTTGACAGACGATAAAATCACCGGTACAATCCGCACGAACTGCTGGTTTTTTCTATTCTTATTAATAATAGTCACGTTCAGAACTGATCGGGTTTACGTGCTAAAACATTTGAAATTGAACCGTGATTTTAAAATTCATACGAGCAGTGATCAGAAGTATGCGTGTATGCTTCCACATGCGTGAATTATAATTTTCGACGTGTCGCGAGTTTACGCAACTTTGAGAGTGTGTACGAAAAATGTCGCTGATAAATTTTAATTGTTAGTACAAAACGCTTTTTGTTTAACAATTGAACATTACGTAGTTAATACTAAAATTCGAAAAAAGAAATTTGGAATAATTTCCATAGAAAACTGCAACAATGTTATTGTCGCCATCTATCTATGCGTGTTCAAAAAGTCAGCGCTTCTATTCGTTGCCAACGTACAGCCAATCACAAGGTAGTAACTTTGACGGTTATAAAAATTGTAGACAAATTAAAATCATTTTCCGAATCGTTAAATTTCAATAAAAGCCACTTTGTGCGTACAATTTCTACAGCTGTGAAAAAGAATCTGGGTTTTACCCGTTGCAATTTATTGATATGGTAATTATACGCTTTTATTGCTTATTCGCGTAGCTATACGTCACGTTTGCACGCCAAATTTTTATTCTAACGATCTCGTATATCGCGAACAATATTTCTGTATGGAATCCGTTACAAACGATGATGGTGCTAGTCGATGTACACAGATTGGCGTCATTACTGCACTGTTCAGTAGTGTTTCAGTTTTTTAGAGTTAAATCGCTTTCCCGTCTCTCACTATAGGTATGTATATTGTACTCTAACTTGTACATTGTTGATTGTTTTGTTTCAAAAGGCATTTCTTAAAAGTGCTTTTATATACGACACTTTAACAGTATTCGCTACTGAATTATACCTCAATATACTTTTTTATTAAAAACATAAGTTATAAAATGAAATGAAATTTCGACGCCTATCTTGTATATCACACTGTACATTATTGCTTCGACATTTGAACCGTGTAAAATATTACTGATTGATTTCGTTAATGGCATCGATCTCATCGCGGTTAAAAGTGGCCCGTTATAAATAATTCGAACAAATAAGTGCAAGAATATATAATTTTGCAGGTTACTGTCAGGACCCCCGAGCTTTCCAGAGGTCTTCCGTAGCCAAATACAAGGACGACGATTCGACAACATGCCATGGGAGTTCGAAGGTCTGTTTACACGAGTTCGCAAATATAGCCATAGGTATCGGAGCCAACCGAAGCGAAGAATTGATAAATTAGTTATTCCGTCAGTCGTCTGCTGCTGTTTCTCTAGGTACGTTTGATCTGAGGTTTCGAATAATCATGCCTATTTATATTGGCTACCTTTGGAGGTTGCTCCGCATCCGTCTACGTGAATGTATACAATTCTCTTTCCGCGATTACCCGCTAAAATATTTGTAACTTTTATAAAAACATTAAACTTTCACAGTATTTCCCGTGTCAGAGATGAAAAGTTACTACATATTGATATTTAAAAGCTAGAGAACAGTATGCTCAACGATTTTCCAGCAATTTCATATCACATCAGCGAGGGAAAAATATATTTTAAACGTCATTCGTTATTTATCGCTCGTTAGAGATTGCCATACGTTGTAAATGGCGCACATTAACTCGGAAAAGCTTTAATGGAAGGCACACCTGGCTCATTTATCATCGGATAACAGTTCCGGAGTACATCCTTTGAATGTAACTCTACCCCTGGGTAAACAGGACTAAGGGTTATGACCATTCCCGTTTGTCTTTGCATCCGGAATCTTCGCACGAAATCCCTCGCCAGGACCCAATTAACTCCCTAAGAATTCGATCCTATCCCATGGTAATTCCAAGATAGCGCGACTCCAACGGCAGATTAGAAAAGACAATATTTGCTTCGGTGCTTCTGAGTCTAATCGCGTATTGCCTCGCAGATGTGCCTTCACTTAATATCGGTTACTATTTGTCCTCCCTTGGAATTGAATACGGGAGGCCCAGAAATCCCGAAAGCTCCTTGAGACTGTTCAGTCGCAACTAACGTATTAAGCGTTTGATAGGAGAATTTTATTAGAAAGAATAATTTGGCATAAACAAAACACGGTTAGTAAACGTATGCTTAAAAATGGACATTTTCCAAATTTCCGTCCATTTCGATGCATGTCTCGATAAATGCCTTATAATAGATACCACGTTGGGAAGTAGGTGGATCATCAATTTCGTTTTATTTCAATACATGTATAACGATTGGTTTAGCTAATTTATTTACTACCCATACGTAGTTTCTTGTGCAGTTGCAACCTGCTAAAACTTTCTTTCGATATCTTCTACAGCCAAGATTCGTGTCATCTGCGATTCTCATTCGAAGTTCGCACCTTCTCCGGAATACTTTCGAACTAGCAGCATCCTACGCTAAACGCATCGCGTCTGAGGAACTATCCTGACCGCAGGCCTCTATCCGCAGCGACGACGGTTTTGAATTGAAGACTTTTGCGGATGGTAACTCGTTGGCTCGCGCGCTAACGTATTTGCAAGATCCGCTGCGCTGATGGACATATAATGCGACGTGTGATTGTAGGCCCGCCAATCGCGGCCGATTGTGCCTCTGAAGGCCCGCTAACTATCTCAAACTAGCCCCATTCAAGCTGCCACGACCTCTCTCTATCCATCTCTATCCGCCACCATACCTCTGTGTCTCTCTCGTTCTAACCCTCCGCACCTCGTTCACAGCCACCCACCTCCACCTCCACCTGGTACGTATCTCGCTTCCTCCTAACACGCGTCCCGTTTCCACCGACTTCCCAGCGATTTTCCCTCCCGCTCGGTAAGCTCTCCCCACCTCCGTCGTTCTGGCTCGATGTATTTCTTGCCGCACGTTTCTTCCGCGCGTCGTGTCCTGCTCTAATTTTCAACCAGCTCTTTCGCGGCACACGTAATCTTCCATTTTATTCGCTTCATCCTTTCTGACGCGCGATCCCTCGTTCCGCCGGGCCCCGCTATCCCCCCCTCCCCCCACGAGGTACCAAACGAGTGTTTTTGCTTTCCATTTAACATCCTTTATCTCGCTCGGTCTATTCAATTTTTCGACCGCGTTGCTTTTCGAGGTTTTCAACGATTTCTTTCCTTCCGCCCTCTTTCTCGGCGCTGCATCCCGTTTAACCCGGTTCCCATCGTTCTTCGGTTTGTACATTCATACATTTCCGCGTTGCTCCCACTATTTTCGTTTCGATGCCACCCTTCCCCAGTTCGCCGCCTCTTTCCCCATCGTTACCGCTCTTCACCCGTTTGATTTTCTCTGTCCTCCTTCAGCCGCGCGGCAACGCTTCGTTTTCGCTCTTCTTCGATCTACTTTCTCCCTCTCTCATCGCCGTGTTTTTCTCTCCGTCCGTTCCCTTACGGCCGTATGAGCCCCTCTCTTTCAGCAGCCATCTCCGTCGCGATCCCTTATTCCTGTTCGCCCTCTCCGTTCGACCCTCCCATCGACACAATCACGCGCGGTTACATAGGTACGTTCCACTAGGCGTCGCCGGTATTCGTCCCGATTCGAATTCTCGACCCTATATAACCGGTGCACGTTCTACGTGGGAATTTCAAATCTATCACCGACCCAGACGAATGCAAATCGCGCATGAAACGCGCTTAATAAAGCCCCGCACGCGGCCCGCAACTCGCAATTTTCTTTCCGACGCTACGTGTCGCGCGCTCCTCTTAATGAAACCTTCGCATGCACCTCGTGCAATTCGCGGCTGCACCCGCATTGAACGCACTTCGTCCCTCGAAACGGATAAAAAAAAAGGAAAAGAAAACACCCCGTGTCTTGGTCGAGATCGTTAAGCTCCGGCGGGAAGAGAGGGAGAGAGGCGATTTTAATTCCCTCGCGGAAGGGAATCCGCTCGCGAGACCGAGACGAGTGGGAAGGGTTCGAGCTATTAAACCAGGCATGTCAAACTCATTTTGATTCGAGGGCCAATTTGATCCAGAATCGTTTCAAAAATATTTTAATAAATATCCAATGCATAGGAATAATTTTGTTGTATATATTGAGTCTGTTCGATGTAGCATCAAATCCGACCGCTGCACCTCGCGTAGATCCAACTCGCGCTGGGAAAATTGTAGGGAAATTCACCTGGAAAGGTGGGCAGCTTCAAAAATCGAAACGGACTCGCAACTCGACCTAATAGTTTCGACATTTACGGATACAGCAGAAGGTACACATTCGAATTGTTTGTATTGCCGATTGAACCGTTCTGACTCACTTCAGCGACCCTTCGTCCAGGAAATCTGCGTGCCGTCCAATCGCATCTGCGCACATTGAAGCGTCAGCGCAATAACTGTCGAAGCGTATGGATCGATCTGACGATCGGCGGCGTGAACAATATCGAACCTGAGGGCGGTGCTTTTGACCGACCGCATTTCGGGCAGGCGAAAATTGAATTTCCAGGGAGCCAAGTCAAGAGGTAAGCGAGGAGAAGCGTACCAGCTATTTGCGTGGCCTTAATAAGGACGTTTGACGGCGTTGGCTTTCCCTTAACAAGCCAGCTAATATCCCGGGGCCTTGGCTCCTCGATGTACTCTCTCTTCTCTCTTTCTACCTCGAGTCGCTCACCTTCCGCGCGACGGACACCGTCGAGAATCACCAAAGCTTGAAAACCGAACAAACTCAGTTAGAGAACTCGGTGTGAGAACCAACCGGGGACAGAAACGCCAAAACTCGCCCTTGTCGTCTACCGATTCCCTTGTACATCGTCTTCGATGTAGCCTCGCGTCAGTCTCTAGCATTATTAATCACCATGTTTCGAGTAATGACACCACAATCGTTTGTATTGCGCAACGAATCGCGATTAGATAACAGATAAACGTATTTAAGTCGTTTAAGAACGAAGGGCTAGTTATATACAAGCTATACATTATACCAAAAAATCTTTGAGCAGTGTATAACAACGTCAAGGGAGTGTTTCGTGTAATTTGATATAAAAAATTTATTTCTACAAATTATAAAACAGCACACAAATATTTGTAGCAACTGCCTTAGCAGCGAACCTTACAAGGACGTAGTTGCCTTTGTTTATGCATTTACCTAAGTAGAGTCACGACTTATCGGTCGTTTTATAAGACTCCTGTTGATCGCAACGCTTCATTATTGTCTATCTAGTGTCTATGTGAATACTGCAAAAGAGGTGAGTTGAAGTAAAACTTCGTGATCGCATCATAGATTTAAAATCTCGAGCGGAATCATGGATGGAAATGTCATATCAGTAACGGTAATGTTTAACACGGTTGTTTTAAACGTTTGATGAATACTCAGCTTCTAAACGTGGTCTGCGTTGTAACGCCGTTGGGAAAATTTTGATCTCTCTGTAATAAAAATGCAATTACTGAATTACAACTACTTACTGAAATTAAAGCTATTTAAGCTTTGGTGATTCTTAAGTAGTAAAGCTGAAATTAAATGGAATACCCACACGTTTCTTTTTCAAATCAGCTAATAAAAGACTCGCCGTTGCGTGGAAGTCAGTAGGGCCAGTTACAGTTGCCGCATTAACTCCATTCTGATACTTTGGTTTCGGTAAAAACCTAAGATACATAAATTTGTGCAATATGTTCCTTCCAGATAATTATACAATGTTATGTACTTACGGATGAATTATTGGCGATAGTAATTTCTTATCGATAGAGGAAGGGTCTATGGGGCCAGTGCACCAACTAACGAGACTACCTACGACGATTACAATTATCGTGCCCAATCCGGTGAACCAATGGTAGGATAATCGATAAAGCGGAAATATATCTTCTTCGCTGAAATAATCCATTGTATAAATACCATAGCGGTACATATAAATTTTGAATAGCGATGAATTAACTCTGAACGGCCACATAAAATTGAATTATGAGGGTCTTGATAATTACAATCAAGTCTAAGGTCGACTTACTCAGGATGCTCAAACTGCTTCAGGAAACTTTCGGAGACATTCGCTGGGCAATGAGAAAGGGGTACCGGAAGTTTCTTAGAGACTAGTAGCCCAGCACCGATAGACCAATTTGCACCTAAACTTGCCCAGCCAGCGACCGCAAATCCTACAATAGCACCCACAAATGCACCCTGGCCGACAGAAAAAGATGAATTAAAATTAATCCATCAAAATAAGTGTTAACATTTACAGGGGAATACTAAGAAAACTAATGTACCTTAGAGTTTGTCCATGGAAAGAGGATACCCAGTGTGAACACTCCAAAAGAAGTACCTGCAGCAATTGCTGCCAGACTTCCGGTAATCTGCATCGAGACGACGTAATAAAAAGCTGCTGAATATTTGATATCCAAAGAGATCTATTTGAAAAGCTACTCACGACTAAAACTCCTCCCAACTTTTCAACCAAGAACAACAGTCCCAATGCTGTTGACCCGAGGAAAACAACTACAATCTTCACGAAGATGAAGGAACATCGGTCGCTCAGTTTCATACCGAAGCAACCCTTTACGAAGTCTTCCAAGACAACGACGGACGTTGAATTGAAACCCACGGAAAGTGTACTAAAACAGAATGAACCTATTGTCAAGCATACATACATAAATACACAAACTTATATTATGTTATGTTTACCTAAGAGCAGCTCCAAAAATCGCAGCGACAAAAAGGCCTGGCACTCCGTGCAAATGTCCTGCGACTTCCATAACATAAGCAGGCAGTAATTGATCGTCGACAGTGATCTGGCCAAGGGCTCTAGGGTCGCACTTCGGTGGCGACCACCAAGCTAAAAGGATAAGGCCGCACCAGCAGCACAACGAAATGAACAACATAATACTGATCGTGAATATCGCTAACGATCTGAAATCACACAGATTATTATTCGAAGATGATTACCGGTGATCTTATTACGTCACTTGCAACTTAAATACGAACACCCATTAATTATCGAAGTATCGACTCACCGTTCAGTGAACCTGGTACGAAACAAATGAACGTATTAGCGTACTCACTTACAGTTTGGATGTTGCCAAATCTTTCAACGATCTGTATCGCTGTACCATGGTTTGATTCACAGCAATGTAAGCGGTGCTGTAGAGCCATGAACCAATTAACACCGTCCATACTGTATGCCTCGTGTAAGGAGATGGGTCGAAGCTACGTGAAAGGCAATTCAATACTGAATATCGTCGAGAATTAAACAAATAGTAACATTTCTTTATCGATCTCTGACTATGTTAAAATGATATAAACTGTAAATTGCTTTGGGATAAAAATAACTATGGCATGCTGTTAGATAGCAGAACAGAATACAGAATACAACTTACATTAAAAACCTCAAATACTCGTAAATGTTTCTTACTTCAGAAACTCGATTCTCTTGGTTGCTAATGCCTCCTTCCATATTTTTGCAGCGCCCAGCTTATAGGTGCCCAAAATGCAGACAGTTAGAACACCGGAAACCATGATTCCAACCTGCAGCGCATCCGTCCAAACTACCGCTTTGATGCCGCCCTGATAATTAAATTCCCCAATCAAAAGATATCACGGGATGATCAAGTTCAAATTGCGGATAATGGCGACACGCGCAGTGAGTTATTATTTAACTTATATCAAATATATTACTAAGAATCGAAAGATACGTAAGCCATGGGTTGGAACAAAATATTAAAAATGTCTTGGACCTGAAGGGAGGCATATCGTAGGTGTTGGAATAGCATTCGTTAGGTTCGAAAAGGCGGCACAGCCATCGAGATCGTTGAGGGTACGGGAGCAGAGGGCCCCGACACCGATAATAAACGAATTTACAAAGAGTCACTCAGCCGCGATAAATTTTCATTAATTCGGAGGTACAACAAATTGCTTGGATAATTACAGGCGCGCGAGCATGCGATTAATCACTTCGGCGCTGGCTTTGTGATCTGCTACTACGGCAACGAGCACTCGACGTGCTCCACGCCATTGTTTCCGGCGGGCCATTGTCGAGCTTTCAGTTTCCGTCCATAAACATTTCCAGTAGCCGGGTCCGCGCGAGAGATTCTTCGCGGCATTGTCCACCGAAAATTGTTTCCTACGAGCTACCCGGCGTCCTCCGGCCCGAGGAACTCGAGCTATCCCAGGGAGAATTCGCCGAACGAGGGACCTTGGAAAATTAGCTCGCGTACACCTAACCTGTCGTTCGGCTCGAACCCTCTCCCCCGCTTTCCATACATTTCAGCGTTGATACGTCTTGTTAACTCCTTAAGCGCCGACAATGAATCCGCCTCGTCATCGTCGCTGAACACAACGACGTTCGTAATGATACGCGTTAAACGCTTAGCGGCTACGATGTTGTCTGTTCATCGCCGCGATTACCATACACTGTCCGTCAAAACTCTGGGATCATCCGTCTTGTTTTCTATGATACCACGTTAACCCCTCAAAGGTCTACGTATACCTAGACGAGTCAAAAACTTGATTGTTTTCTTCGCACGTTCGATAAACTTCAAATTTTAGGAATATATCTTGAAAATTATGTTTCTCGAGTTATAAGTCCAAGTTACTCTGTTGGGGGATAAAGCTACATATAGGAACGCACGCTTCGATCACAGATTTTGCAAATATTAGAATCGGCAGAAATTCGAATGCATACTTCAAGAAAGAGGATCTTCGTTGGTACCTGTTTTAAAATTATTTAAAAACAAAATGGTACACCCTGTACGAATTTCGACAATAATGCAAGACTTTATGCAGCAGCATACATATATCGTTTTCTAAATATTAAACGCTTTAGTTAGATGCGGACGAGAATGTCCGGCTAGCGGTCGGGAACGACTTCAAATTGCTGTTAATATATATGTAACGCGAGTTATTGAGTTTCGGGGGAACAATGTACGTAATGTAAACCCACTATGTAAACCCAATTAAGCTGTCGAAGCAAACGAAACGAGACTGTGCCGCCGTAAATAGCGCGTCGTAAAGCAAAATAACGTGCAACTCCGGACGAACGAAGAAGCAACATTTCGAAGGGTAGTCGTTCCCTTTTATTTATATTTTATTATTCGACCGTAAACTTACCAGAACGGTGTAGAACACGCACACGGAGCACACAATGACGCCGATCAAATGTACATCGATGCCGCTCACTGTAATCAATCATAAAGATTTTAATAGTGCTCGGTTAATGCTCCACTACGAGTAATATGGCTGCGTAATACCTTGATTTAACGCTAACGCTGGAACGTAAACCACGATCGATTGATAGAGGACCTGAAATTGGTTTGTTACTACAATGGATGGATAGTGAAAATATTTTGGTCATCCTGAATGTTTCTGCGGTTTTTGTGGTATCTGAGCTTGGTGCAACATATTTTCACTATTACACAAACGCGGTTGATAGCGTTATATGTCGTTACGCTATCCGTGAATCGAATTTGCTTTTAGCAAAATGAAGAATAGCCGATCTTGCAGCGCTTTGTGAGTTTAAACTTGATCATCGAGTAATATGGCTCTTGCAACAATTTGATAAGTTCAGGCGTGGAAACTTGAACCTCGAAGATGCTCCATGTAGTGGGCGGTCTACAAATTCGATAAACGATGCCCTGAAGGAATTAATGGAAGCAAATCCCAAAAGAGCTTAATGTTTCACCTAATGCTGTGCGGAGTCGCTTACTTGCAACGGGGAAGACAAAAGCTGCAAATGCAACATCCAGAAGACAGGGCAATGACCTCTCGGAGATGATTTCAGCTAGGTATCAAAACTACAGAAACTTTCAAGATGACTCCATAGTTATCGTTATTATTCAGTATTTAGAAGCCAGAAAAAGCTATTGAATTATGTACAGTACGTAACGAAAGAAACTAAACACTGTATGACAGCGTTGTAGGTACATAAGTAAGATCCACGTAAGAAAACATTGAATTTCAATGATCCGTGTAACGCATAGTCGTGGTAGAATGCACGCCTGGTGAAAACGCGACGAGTATCTATCGTGTAAGTGTGCCAAACCGATATTAAAATCGTCAGAGCAAAGTGTTACGGTCTGGCGACGCATTTCGTCGTCCGGAGTAACTAGGGCAAATCGTTATCCTATCTGGAAAAATAAACTCTGCTGTTCGCCTAAACTTATCGAAGAAAGTTACTATTCCAGAAGGAAAACATTTTGTAAGAGATTTTATCTTCCAACAAGATAGCGTCCCCATTTATAAGCCAACAATTGTAATAAATTACTTGAATGACTGGGATTGCTATCACAAAGTTAAATTAAGTCATTGTAAAAAGTATACGCTTTCTTTGCATAATCGACTTCTGTGAATATCTGTTATTCAGCTTGGTCGATGATTAATTGTAATATTCGTTGTTTAAAACCGGAGGGTTTATTTACTTTTGTTACGTACTATATATTTAAAGTTAAGCTTTTTTAAGTGTTTCGATAAGCCGCGTTGATTAAAGTTTCGTGTTTCTGTCGCGTAACGTAGCGTGACATGACTTCATTGTAAACGAGTTCCCCAGAAATTAAAGTCAATGATGAATTACTTTTCCCGAAGTTTCTAATGTATTTACCGCGTATATCGCGTCGCGAGCTTAGTGTTACACGAAATCCAGATAAGCCCACGCCGTATTTAAAGTTCGTTGACACGCTTATAGTGCTTACCACATCAATAACGAAGATCAGCGATATAAGGATCCTTACGCCGCGATTGAACCTTATCTCTAAATACTAAAACAGAATTATGAAAACAGAGTACTGAATGGTAGATCAGTTTCGTGTTACCAGGACTTTTTCACTTTTATGGCTTTCGTATTAAAACAAACTGTACCTCGTAAACAGAATTAAGCCCCAGCGTGACGAAAACAGGAGCGTAGATAGTGGCCACCACTAGTCCCGAGAAAAATATGGAAATAATGGTGATCCAATATTGAGTCCCATAATTGTATATTTCAGCCGGAGTTCCAAGAATCGTTACGCCAGATATGAAACTACATCATTCATGAAAATTATGAGGTCTTCTCTAGCCTTCAAGAACTTAGAAAACTGGGTTCTTTTGGTTTCAAGAATCGAAGGTTTGTCATCGTAAATAGCGAGAAAAATCCAGAACCGCGGCAGAATTTGTACCGATTTAATTAATCGACGATTACAAAGATCTGACTTATGAGTACCTGGCGACGAGAGAAGCGGACACAGGGAAGAGACTCATGCCCGTTCCACCGAGGAGATAATCTTCCGTGCTCGACTTCTGCGCTTTTCTGTAATGCCATAATCCTGCGGCGGCTGACACGGCGAGCATCAGCCCGAACACCAGCCAATCTGCCCAATGAAAGTATCCTCTCTCCGGCATTTCCTCCATTCTGACTCCGAGAAACTGGAAGCGAGCGAAAACTTGATTTACGAAGCCAGATTTGCTTGATAACACCGATAATAGCGGTAATGGAAGTCAAGTAACACGGATGAAAGCTTAATGGCTCTCGCGATGATACGCATAATGGATCTTCAACGAGTACTTAGCTATTACTGTTATTACTGAGCATACGAGGGCGGAAAAATTGTGTCCGTCGAAATAAATCTGAACATAGTCCTTGCCAAAACAGAACTGAATCGTTGCAAAGGCAAATAATAGTACCGATGTCTACATATTTGTTATTTGAAACGTACAGCTGCATTTTATGAAGCTATTTAAAATGATCAAGATTCTAAAAATGTATAAACTGAACAATGGCAATCGTTTTGCGCAATAAATCGTAACATGACTACTGTTTGTTGATCAAGAGAACAAACTATAAGTCTTCTCAGTTCATAGTACGTGTCTGCACACATAATACATATACACATCTAATTGGTACTTGACACTCGACCTTAATGCGGTTCGCAGCTGTTAGTATTCCAATACAGCTTGTTAACTTGATAAATGTTAACACTTTCTGAGGATAACGCAACAAAAAGCTATCGAGTTTTCCTATTGCTCTAATATACAAAGGAAAGAAGATTATGAAAGATCGAATATTTTAAATGCAGTGCTACAAAAACTGTATATAAAACTATTCATATAAAACAACGATCGTAATCTGTAGTTTTATTTCGTTATAAACAGAAAGAGATTCTTTATTCTTTGCTCGATAAAGCCTTCATAGAACTTGGAAGAAATGCTGAGCAAAAGTTTTAAAATTAAATAAATGATTACGCGTGACGTCATTTACATTAGTACCGTCTAATGTGTCGCAGATGTCAGCACTATGCAGAAATCAATTACAACTTGACAAAGTAGAATAAACACCATACATGGAATAAGACAAATGGTCACGAGTTCAGTAGACCGTTCGAGTTGAACAAAGTGAAAGACGTAGAAGGATTTAATGAAAGACAATTCCAAGAATGCAAACAATAATTGCAACACAACCATAACACAGGAATCTCAAGAAAACACGACACGTTAGCGTCGTAAGTTTTTTTTATACTTCTCCTTGTCCTGGAAATAGAATTCCAGTTATTCGCCAACATTCTTTTGTCCGACGATGACATCACTCCACCTCCAAATTCACAAATATATTACGCAAGAAATTTCATCGAATTTGAGAATATTTTTGACAAACATTTTTCATAGAAGTCTTTTCTAATTATCTATGGTAATACGTAAAAATTAGATTTTCTTCCACAAGTTTCCTAAAATTCTTTACACGATATTTTGTTTCCCAACAATTTCCATTGATCTTCGCAAGAATATAAATCACAAATTTAATCAATCATTTATGATTTTCAAACATAGTCAAAATTCTAGTAATAGTAATACTGTTATTTACTAGCATACTTTGTAAGTATGTTTCGTTATACTCTTTCATTGTTTATTTATATATAGCTTCATGTAGCACAATTTATGAACAAAAAAAACACAAATGATTGTTGAATGATATTACCAACTGATAATCAGTAAAATGATTAGGATAATAAATACCGACTGCTGATAAATACTTACTGTTCAGTTTTATAAATAGGATTCTTTATATTTAGTAACGATGAGTGGCCCACTGCTAGTCGCGTTTTGCATCAAAATTTTTGTCTTCTCTGCACGAACACCATATAAGAATATCACGGCTACGATTGTTAATTGTTAATTGTTTCTCTAAGATCACGCTAATCTTGATCGACGATCGGTAAGAGAATAGAAACAAGGTATATACTTTCTTCAATTACGTATACTCTACGACATCACTGTTCCTTTTGCTTCTCTTTATTTCCTCTCTAACAGTCACCTTCCTCGCAGTTCGTAGTTTCAACAGATACTGTCCGGAAAGCAGTTCACTTCTAGAAAGTGATTCGTTTATAATGCTCTTGGTTGTTTTCAATAAAAATGTTCTACTTTTTCTGTATCGTAGTACATACGCAGACTGTTCTTTTATTCACTCATTAATCAATGAAAAACTGTATTGCCATTATTTGCATGTATTTATATTACGAATCTTATATTGATACCTATTGAATAAAATAACTAATTATAATTTTAAAGCAAGTAGAAAAAATATAAGCATAACTTCACGCATGCTTTTTATTATTAGAACTGAATTAGCAAACAATATAAATTCACTGTGATAGCAAAGATTATCCACAGAATACGAAGGAAATAATTAGTTTTTAATGGATCCTAAAAGAATATTGAAACGACCGTAAATAATAATTTATGAACATACGAATATAATTTAAATAATTCCATTTAACGACACAATGTAATTGAATCGTCGCAATACTCAGCGCCTGTATATTCGAAAAGTTTTACAATTAATACTTATCAGGTGGTATTCTTTTTATCACATAAGAATTTATTGAAACAATTAATTTGAAACAATCGTTAAAACCGCCACTGGTCCCTTTGTGTATTCACGTCTCGATTCACAATACGATATAAGATTTCGCATATATCGATTAAACTATCGAACGCGATCTTGACTTGTAAGTACGCAGGGTGACACGGAACGTGGACGTCGAATATGGTAATCGTAAAAAGGAGATACACAATCGCTGTAAACGTTCTTACCGTCGAATACAACACGGTGACCGTGCACGATCAGATTATTTTTAAAACATTTTAACGGCACAAACGAATAAACATAGTCGAACGAAGAGTCAATAAAAGTCACGAGCAACTGTCTACCGTGACCAGTAACGGACTGTCGTGAAGTTCGAGGCTCGACACAGAGCTAACCGGTTTCCTCGATCTGACTAATTGTAAGCGTAGCTCCAGTTCGATTCAAACACTCAGCAAAATTTAAACGACAGTTTACTCAATCAATCGTTACGCAAATTTTTAATTTCACGCAACTAGGACACGCATTCCTCTTGGAGAAATTTGCCTGGAAACGAATTAAAGTAGCAAACAATCAAGAAAAAAAACATTCATTATTGGTTAAAGTATGGAATATCCGGATGCGCCAATTAAATCGGAATAACAGTACTAACGATTGCCTGCGTGGTTTCGAACATTAATGAAACGGTGTTGGGTAAACACGCAATTGGATCATTAAATTGCTTCTACCATTTCAAATTGAAATGATAACCTCACGAATGCTAGCCGTGTACGACAAACACGATCCCTCCCTCCCTTTACGTGAGTACGAGTTTATACGCCATGTTAGTCCTGATTTTGTTTTGTTTTTAACGTTAGCACGTATAATGTGTTCTTTATGTCATTCGACCGAGTATTTCGTTTAATTAACGGTAGAGGACAATTTAATAGATTTCGGGATTTGGAATAAATTTGGTTATTAATAACTTGGGATATATTAATAACAAATTTGAATTATTTACAACAAATTATTTTATCATTAATTATAGAGAATTACAAACATTCGCAAAGCAACGGTATACAATTAACTTTTGTTTACCATGTACGATTTAAAAAAACGAATCTAGTAAAAATTTGTAACATCGCATAGTAAATACAACGTTGTTAAACTTAGACTATTATCGTTACAACACAAAAGGTTCGATTTATTCGTTTATGATCGATCGCAATATCAATTAAGGTACACGCAGTAGTTGAAACTCGCTACGTTCCGTGTGTATTGTAACCTTTGTTCTTCAGATCAAAACAATGTCTCTTTCGCGTCGAAATGAAAGGGATGTTGTATTCGAAATCTGAACATTTGTCTTTTCAATCACAATGCGTGAAACTTTCAAAAAGTTGGAATGTTTGAATGTAATAATTTTACATAGTCTCGACAGTCGAGAAAATTACGTTACTTTCTCAACTTTGCTTATTTTAGGCAAAATACTGCAATCTTAACATAGAGTGATGACATTACATTATGTATAAAATTAATGTACTATATATAACACATTCCAAACTTAATTTTTTATAATTCAAGAAATTTGTGATGTTCAAGAAGCTCAAAATGTTGCATAATTTTGTGTACAAAATTTGTAACGTTTATATAAAAAGTTTATAATTACCACCACACCTTAGTGGGATGAATAATATATGAAAACTTGCAAATACCATAATCATTTTCATTAGTATTAACAACAGTATATCTGTGATGGTAAATATCATTATTAATTTATCTAATTAGACATAGAATGTAAATTTTGGCTTGTTCTATATTTAAATTACACGGAAGTAAATATGAAATATAAAAAGAAGAAATTAAATTTAACCTTATATTTATTTCTTGAATTCACAATTAGTTCAGATGTATGTAAGTACATACATGGCTGTTGTGTTTGTGAAAATATTTATTTGCTAAACGATGTTGCAAATGATAGTAATAGTTTCTGTTGACCTTTCATAATATTAAACATTTATAACACATTATGCATGGTACTCTGGAAAATTGCTTCTTGCCAAATTTGATTTGCAATGATTTTCTTTGTATGCTTATGAGGTAATAGAATAGCTTAAATATTTTCTGGATATTAAGAAATCGGGGTATCAAGATACAAATACGACGCTTGCAAAACAATAACATAATAACTGTGACATCATGTAATAATTATTTACTTACTATTTGTACATACTCACATCACGTGTTCATTTTTCTATTTCGTTTTGCATAGTAATACCTACACTCGTTAATACAAACATACCACATGCGGGTATAACATAATATGTATACATATACATATACGTATATATTATGTTATACATATATATATATAAATTGTTTTAATTACCTTGTTCCACAAAGAATTATAAGTACTATTAATTTTTGTATCACTAATATAGAGTAGTTAACGAAATGAACATCTGTTTGAGTAATGATCTTGAAATGGTGTTTTAGTCAGTCTTTCAACAAATATTGTTTCACATGGAAATACAATGACACAATTCATAAAGTACAGAAATAATTATACGTGAATTTCCATTTACTCTTTGTGAAACAAAACAAAAATTGTATATTTAATATTTCACATATTTTTGAATTTTATGGAATACGAAAATCGTGTTCTAATCACAGTTTTTGATGGTTTGCTTCTCCAAATAGCCATAAACAGGCTCTGTCGATCATATATGCAAGGATAAAGTCTGCTACTAGTATTTGAAGTAAAAGAGTACGGAACTGTAAAGAGAAAGTATTATTAGAAAGTGCGAGATTTATACAAGCATTCAATAAACAATTTATATCTATAGTCACTTACTTCGCTTGGAAATTCCACAATTTCGAATTGGGTTGCTAAAACAGGTGAAAAGCCGCATAATCCTAGTATAACAGCTGCACTGCCTATAAGGCTGTATAGCAAAGGTTTATTTTGTATTAAACTCTCCATGTATGGTTGACCCTTCTCAAACAAATAACATCAAATTAAAACCAAATATACATAGCTTTTGTTTATATAAATTATTTAGTTTGATGGTTTACCCGATAATTAACAACAAAAGTAGAAACTTGAAGTGCCATAGTAATAATATAAACTGTGCTGTTTATCAAATTTGCTTCAAAAGGTTTATTTTCATCATTAACATCTGTATGTAAGGCCGTATTTTGATTGACTGAATTATTTGAAGCTAATATAGCTGTCAGATTATCACTCCTTATTAAATCCAAGAAAAATTAGTGCACATTCTATTGAAATAACTAACTTATTTAGTCCACATTCCGTTCCTTACCTTGGAGATAATATAGTTGCTTCCCTTACCAAATACACGAGAGAGACAAATTGCAGACCGAATTGTAGCAATACAGTGGCTATAGTGTACAGATTAAAAATGTTTGGAAGAGGTCTTTGTTTAGACAATGTTTTCAACGGTTTAGATCTTGATATAAATAAAAAGCAAGTAGACAAAAGAACACCCTGTAATGTAGCTTGCACGTCGCTGAACTTTATCTTATCTAAATAGAGAACGGATTGACTGTATGCAAGCCCCAATGCATTAATTGCCAAAATTTTAAACATTTGTAAAGTCGTGACTAAAGTGCACCGTCCTTGCTTGATAACATGGCATACTGTAATGAAACAAAGAGTTAATCATGGTAAATATCATTAAATTGCATTTTGCTCAACATAAAATAAAACTCACTGCACTGAATCGACGACATTTTGCTAGTGAAAGGTGCAGCAATCGAAGCATCCCCAAGTTTAACAATAACAGATTGTTCTTGCTTTTCTAGTTCTTTCAATATCTTCTGAATCCTTACTTTAGTATTGCCGGATACTCTCAAATTTAATCTCGGATCATTAGATATTGCCGAATTTGAGAGTAAGGTCTCGTTTTTTGCGTTACCTTGTGTATCTGAATATGCTCTTTCGGGCGGACTAGAAAGGATTGCGACTCCTAACAAAATCAACTAATCAGTACATGTAAATTCCTATACGTACAAATAAGTTACAAATCTCAGTAATCGACTAACCCACTTGAGCATGTTTCAAAGCACCAACGTCATTAGTACCATCTCCGCACATTAAAGTCGTGTATCCTAAGTTTTGTAACGAAATAATAATAAATTCTTTTTGTTTCGGTTCACACCTTGCAAAAATTACAATGTGTGGTAGTAATTTACGGAGAAGTTCTCGATCATTATCTTTTAAATATGTTAAACCCTGTAAATGATACGTTAGAAAAGCGGCATACATTTAAATTGAATTCATCAGCGTTACACTTTAGGTCTTATTAAATTACCTCTCCTGTTATACAAAGAGCGTACTCCCGCCAAATTTCATTACCACGTTCAACATTTTTCATACTTAAAGGCAAATTTATCTTTCTATCTACGCTTTCCCATATCCACTCCCCGGCATACGCAGTCAATATAAATATGACTGGTTTTTTCGTAAAGTGTAACTCGCAACTGACGTGACAAGCCGTTAATGGATTATCGCCAGTAATCATAACAACCTATAAAGACAATACTGTTAATTGTATGAATAATGTAGGACAGATAGCTAAGTGATTATATAATTACCGAATGCGAAGCATTCACGATCTCTTTAATAACAGCTTTAGAATCAGGTTTAAGTGGACAACTTATAATTACAAATCCAGCAAAAATAAGATTTGTTTCTAATTTGTCTCGCGTTAATTCTCTAAGATCTTGAGACGTTAAAGGACCACGGAGTTTTCGATATCCTAAAGCTAATACTCTTGCCCCACGACGAGAAAGCGACAAATAGGTAGAGTCATAATTTGCTGGTACAGACGACAACTGGGGAAAACAAATAATATTTACGACATATTATATCGGGAAACAAATTCAGGTTTACAGCCCACTATTCACCATGTTTTTAATAACTTCTGGTGCTCCTTTCACAGTAGCCATGAAATTAATTTCTGATGACCCAGGTATCGTATATCCCGCTACGACCGACATTCGTTTTAACGCAGAAGAGAAGTGATGTCTCTGTACTATTTTTAAGACGGGAGACTGTGAACTTCTTGAGATCATAGAATCATCTAATATGAAAATAATATTAAAAATTATTACAAAGCTTCTAATTAACCGTTATAAATTATAAGAAGTGCGTACTTCTTGTGAGGGTCCATTTAATAGCCCTCAATGTAGCTTTTTCAAGCGGGTCTCCAACAATTCCGTCATCTAAATGTACAAGAGAATGGCACGTTGCAAGTACTTGAATACTCTCTAAAGGCGCATCAGAAATTTGCATAACGTCTGCATTTCCCCTTAAATAGTGAATTACTTTCATATAACTATCTGTGAATATTTCCTATTCTTTTAAAAATAATTATTTGATAATTACTCGATTCCTGCTATACCCTCAACGATCAAGCTGTCACTAGTTAAAGTACCAGTTTTATCGAAGCAACAAATTTCAACTTTTCCGGCAAACGGAATTCTGAAAGGTTCGGTGCAGAATACACCTATACAAGTGAAATATTTTTTTTATTCAGGCTAATGATGAGTAGAATGATATTGAGCATAATTATGAGAATAACAACAATAAATATTCAATATATTTTATAAATACCTAGTTTCGCCAAAGCTAGTAAAGATGTATTCACCGCTAACGATAACTCGATAGGCAATTCTGGAGGGATAACAGAGGTTAGAATAAGTGTACATTCCAAAAATAATTTATATTTGTTTCGCGTAGGATCCTCGCTTCCTGCAAAAATGAATAATTTATTAATAATTTAAACGTATATATTTCTACATTCACATTATTATAGTTTATACCTTTAATCCATACATACGACGCTGCAGCAATTGCAAAAACCAATAGAAATAAGATAAAGCCAAATGATTCCAAATTATTAGCTGTAACACGCTTAACTCCAAATAGTATTGTTCTCAAAAGTTTACCCTGTGATGTTGAAAATCCAGTACGTAATACATAGGCTACACAACCATTATCAGTAGCTAAAATTTTAATGGTACATACATGAAAGTATAAGTGCAAATAAAGTGCTTCGAGGTATTTATTTAATATTGAAATAAATACCCTTAAGGCCAGACACATTTTTGCTAGGTGAAGAATGTTGTACGACTTTTGTACCTCCAAAGAGTACATGAAGTTTATCATTACCCTCTATATCCAATCGTCTATCATCAATGTCTTCTATTGGTTCTTTCATTTGTGGAACAGATTCTCCTGTACATTTGAAATCAAATTATGTAAAATGAATTAATCACATGCTGTCTTTCTATTTTTAATCAATCACCTGTTAGCATACTCTCATCAACCACACATGTTCCTCTTAATAGTAACATGTCGCATGGCACTAAATTATCATTTTGAGATCTTGTTATCGAGACAATATCACCAGGTACTAATTGATCAGTGAACATGGAACGCCATCGTCTATTTCTATAAACCTTTGACAAAAATAATTTTATAAAAATTATTATTGACAACCTGTCTTTCCTCTACCATATCTACCAACCATTATCATGTATGGTTTATTTCCCATTTTTCTGATCTCTGCCATGTTTCGAAGCTGTTGTTGTACAAGTGTACATTCAAACATAATCAGTAAAATAAGTGTAAATATACTGTAATACCAATATTTATCTAAGCACCATAGTGCAACACAAAATACTTGAAAAACAAAGAATGGTGCTATTGCTCTTTCTTTGAATAGTTCTTTAAATTCTGGTACCACCATATCCAATCTAAATAGAAGCAATTATATAAACCAAATTAAGTAAAATTTATACTTACAATACATAATTGCCACATCTATATAATAGAATGCTTACTTATTCTTGTCATATTTCTCCTCTGCAGCTGTAATTTCTTTTTCATCTAAATACCCTTTCCACTCGCAATAATGTTTAACAGAATGATTAGTTGGAAATTGAAGGCCTACAAAGCACTTCCTATGAGGGTTCCAATGATACTTGGTCTTTTGGAATATAAACCAAGGTTCTTGCTGCTCAGAATGATGCAGTTTAACAAGCTCTGAACTTCCATTGTTGGGAGTAGGAACTACTTTTGCTATTTTTGCTTTATAAGTATTTTTCTCCTGAAACGATTGCAACGTTTAAAATTTCTCTGCTGTACCGTAATAGTTCTTTTTAAATTTTGTAATTTGAACGTTCCCGCCAATTGGTCACGTGACTCGGAACTAGCAGAAGGTAGGCCCGAATGGCTGCCACGTTAACGAAACATATTGAACAACATAATTTCTATGTGCAAGTCATTTAATTAATGCAATTATTATATTGCGATGATGGAGTCAACTCACCGAGCTACAATTTAAAAAAGTATGTATGTGCACCGACCACTGGCAAGATAAACATATGAAAATCTGAAATAAGGCTATAGCCGCAATGCCTACTAGCCCCGCGTCATAATACTCGTCAATTCCATAAACAAAGATCCAACAATAAATCCATAGAGCGTGTAATAGCACAGAGGGCAATATATAACCCGTGAATAGTAATTTTCGAGGATTATGAAGTGTGACGGTTCGCACGAGTTCGTCTATCTGCGATGAAACCGCCATGGTTATGATTACAATGCGCCGTAGCGGCGGCGTTATGGATTTAGTGCAATAGATTCAGGTTCTTTTCACATGAAATCCACCGGCACAAACAGAGAATTCACTCAGCAAACAATCTACGTAACAACTATTACACGGTAATGGTGCTCGGTATATGTTTACCCCTTTTACGCTTTTCTATGGTGCTCTATATGTATACTAATTTACGGTAATAGGACAAAAATCAATTTTATGCCGAATACTGTTACAGCACCTCGCGGCAATGACTTGAACTATTTCGTCATCTTGATAATGTTCAATTCTTTTTTTAAATTATAAATTCAAATGTTGCATGCTTTGCGATTGAATTAATTCCATAGTAGCTTCTTGCGTATAGTGTAAAAATCATTCAGTGCAATATAAGGAAGCCCGATGTTTTGCACCGACCTTTGGTATATAACCTAGTCATGATAACTGATTTTTAATGTGCAAACACAGACGAGGTATACGAGGTCTGTGGTATACGTATACCTCGTCTGTGGTGATAGTCAGCAGACTAGTTGCATGTAAATGCATACGAGTTGAAAAGTACGAATTATTCGCGATTCCTTGACTAGTTAAAGTTATAAATAATTTGCGTGTAATCATTGAAGTGAATAATGTTATTAAATTCAAGAATCTTATCATCTGCTACTAAAATCATTCTATTCGCGGTTTCTACCTGAGACATCTCTCGGGTTCGTAATATAAGCTTCGCGAGACATCGGAGCTTCTCCCACCCCGCCGCCTAGTTCGCGAGCGCTGCCGAGCACAGCGAGCGGCCATCATTCTTACTTTGAAGAGTAACTTAGCAGGACGTGTCAAGACGTATCCGCGTTTCGCGACCAAAGTACATATTTCTAACCTTTTGCTATTTCCTCATTATAATCAATCATTGTTTAATTATGATTTAATTTGTATTTTATTTCTGTTGCAGTCTCTGATTGAAATTCGACGCCATGGAAGATTTTATTGGCGCGTAAAGTACACCATAACAGATGGCAGGCGAGTCGACAAATTTTGAAGGGTATATCGGTAACGTTTAAATAATTACAATAAAAATTGACATCCATATTAATATTTGTCGCTTTATTAAGTTATCCGTTGCAAGCATGATTTTAATTTTGTAATCGGTCATTGTTAAGATAAAATATTAAAATCGGTAAGAAACTTTTTATCCACTTCGATACATATCGAAGTACATATACAGAAATGGCGTCGGTAGATATTGACGATAAATTGAAATAATTTATATTTAACTGTATTCTGATCGCGATTGAATATTTTCGAGTGTTATTTATTTAATTGATTGTTTATATTTCCTTATGAATTGTTGTAATTGCAATTTGCATATATATTTCGATGCAAGTTCAAGAAAATGTAGTAACTGCGAAATTGAAATATGCTATTTGAGCACAAATAACCAACGAACTTTAATTTTTGCAAATTTCGGAATATTTATAGAAATTACCAAATATTCTAACGTTTGATAAAGTAAACATAATCATGCTTACAACTCTAACTATGAATCATGGTGATATTTATAAATTGAATAATTGTACGTAATTATTTTCATAGATAATATTTTATCGTTGAAATTCTCATTGATTGAGAATATTTATTACAAACTATGTGTACAGTAGTATTAAGTAAAGCAGTATTTCTGTTGACGAATTCTTGTAAAAGGATGAAAAAAGAAAACCGGTAGGCTAAGCACAGGTGTGCTTGTTGTGTTTCTTGTCTCCTGTCCCTTTCTTTTCAGCTCTTTTCTTTCCAGGAAATTTGTTGGCCGCGCGCAATGCGGCCGGTAGATTCAGTGATTGTACGTAGCAACAAGTTTGTTTCTCGGGGCAAAGTGACCCCGAGTACGTTATCGTTCACGATGTTAGGTAAACGCGAGAATAGAAGCAGTGTTTTCTACGCAATATTAAATTACATCCAGAGTATCGTGGCTCTCCTTGTTTTCTGAATCGCGATAATAGAGTCATTTGTTCGCCGATTTCAATCTTCGGTCGCGGTAATCTAATTTAATACTTTCCAATAAAATTAATTATTTTTTCAATTTGAAATTTAAACTCCTCGTTACCGGAATTAGAGTCAGTGCATCACTGAAGAGGACTATTGGGCGATGCTCCACGAGCAAACGATGTAAGTATAAATTTATACTTTGAAATTTTGAATTAAAAATCTCTACAGTTTCAACAATAGATTTTAATTGTTTTCTTACAGTTTTCTTACAGATTCTGAACTTGATCCTGGGAACCAGCAGCAGTACCCGGGGGGTATCGGGCGGTGGACCACGAGCGAACAACGTAAGTATAAATGTATACTTTGAAATTTGTTAATTAAAAATCTCTATAATTTTAACAATAGATTATAATTGCTTTCTTATTCTTTATAGCAGGAGCATGCAGGGGGCTTTGATGACTTCCACTGGGCAGCAGCAGCATCATCATCATGCAGTCATCCCAGAGGCACAAGTTCATCATTGGTGAGTCGCATGCTATTTGTGTTCCTCTGGTCCCCAAACATGTTGTAGGATGAAAGATCCGAATCAACACGGGTGACCAGTTGTATACTTAGTATTTTTGACGAGTTAAGTGACCGCGGGTATGAAAAATACCCATGAATTATATTTTTTTAGTGCAGGCTAGGGTCTTCTTGCACTCGTGTTTTTTAATGTTATCAATAAATATTACACAACTTCATACGAATTATATAATTGAGTAGAATACGAATTAATATAATGCAAAAGCATTATATCGATCATATGATCCAGTGGAATATCTTATAACATTAACATAATTATTAAATATTCGTTTTATCGATTAATACATCATATGATGTATTTTATGTGCAAGAAGGCGTTTCGCGACTGGTCGATTTTCAACTCAAAGGAACATGCATGTTAATTTTATTTCTTAAAAAATTTACTTTGATGACAGAATCGACCAAGGTTAATTGAATATTTTGAATAATAATTTAACAAATTTATTTCAATTTGCAAAGTAAATTATTTTATCATGAAATCTTTATTAAAGTCTTACATTTTGTACAATTAAATTTCAGTCACAAATTTTTCTTGAATAATAATATCTTTCAATATTAACGTAGTCGGTTGTTGATATATTACATATAACAAGTCGAGTCATTTTCATTGAGAATAGATACCGTTTAGTTAATTATTAATAACCAGTTGTTCTAGTCAGGATTTTCAGGATACTTTTCCGTGTTCGTTGCCTAAGTTCGTGCACATACCCAAGTGTTATTTGCACGAGCGAAGGCAACGGGGCACGATGACTTAGTTTTTAACATTTATAATAATAATTTATCCGTGCGACTGACAATGCTAGTGTATCGTGCACGATGTACTGTCCACATATGTGTGTTTGTGGTTAGGATGTGGAAGTGCATCGTTTCAAAAGTTTATTACGATTCAGATACAGAATTTTTTGACATTAGATTCATAACAATCGTAATAATAATATTAAACTTATAGTTATTATTTACTTGGAAATTGTTCGTATTTCATACACGTCAATGATATTGTAAAATGCATAATGAATTAGCTTTTCGATCTTATATAATCATATATAGAGTATATTTTAATAAAGACTATATCAGATATATTAAAATGTTTTACATAAATAATAAAAGTACGCAATGGGCACTAGCTTTGTCAGTCCACTGCAAAAACTGGTACGTACACAATTAGAGTATGAATGAGGTTGTGTCCGGGTGTCGGAGGAACCCCGGGGAGTCCTCTCTAGTTTAGGTCGCGCCCGGACATTCAGAATGAGAACCGTGGAGTGTTTGTTTGAGAGACTGAGTTTTGCAATTTTTTAAATATAGGGTTAGGTAGGTAGGTAACTTTCTCTCTTGTCTGTGTGTGCTTAATCTAAGTAGGTAGGGTCAGGGCAGGACTGTCCACATTAGTAATTCGGGTAGGCGCGTTTTCGCGTGGCAGTTCTGTTCCTGTAGTTACGATTTCGAGAGTAGAAATGTTGCTGATTCAAACGGTGCACTTGTGCTGTTTGTTTCGGCTTTATTTTCGACTCCTCGAATCGCGCGACTCTTAAAGTCGCTCTCTTGCGCTCGCGGTCGTGATCAGGTCCCTTTCGAAACGCTCGTTCCCCTCGAGATTCACCACGTATGCTCTTGCAACAATTCGTATATTGTTGGAAGACTACGTATTGCACAAAATCTCGAGCCCGGTCTTAAGTAAGTTTCAGGCATCGGCAGGACCGCCGAAGAAAGAAAAGGCTCTCAATGAGCTGAAGAGGCCCTGACAAACTGTCTCAAGAGTGGGCTACAACAAATGGCTTTTCATCTTCATCTTCGGATGAGGATGGAAAGTCATTCCTGTTACTATTTTGTCACTTAACTCGTCCGTAGTTGTAGTTAGTTTATTTTTCTGACTGGCTCACGTATGCATGTACCCGATGGTACATGATTGCACCATATATGCCAGCCATTCCTCCCCATAACTCGCGGTTATGATATACATAGAGTTGCGAATATCCAATAATCGCGTTTGCTTTTAGAGTTGCGAATTCCTATTTTTCGCGTTTCCTTTTCAGGGTAGTGTTGCGAATAATTACCATTCGCGATTGGTTTTATGCAAACTTAGGTACCGGGAGTTTGCTTTAAAAATAGCGTTGCGAATTATTGAGAAACGCGATTGCTCGTAGAGTTGCGAAATACTATTTTTCGCGTTTCCTTTTCAGGGTAGCGTTGCGAACAATCACGATTCGTGTTGCTTTTTTACTCTTTTATACATATAATGGACATCAACCGCGTTTGCAATTTTCATACTATAAATTAGCGTTGCGATCTTGATCAATCGTGCGATTTTTTATTTAGCGTTGCGATATTTTCAATGCCCAAATTCTACCCAAATTGTAGTACTAGTAGTAGTTAGTTTATTTTGTGGCCAGTACATGTCTATGTACATGTACCAATAGCCCCTGATTAAAGTTAGAGTTGCGAATAATATACAATGTTCGCGTTTGCTCGTAGAGTCGCGAACAAATATTTATCGCGTTGATATATCAGTGTTGCGAATAAATACGATTCGCGATTGTCTTTATGCAAACCTAGGAATCGGGTGTTTGCTTTAAAAATAGCGTTGTGAATTTTTAGTAAACGCGATTGCGAATTAGAGTTGCGAATCACTATTTT